GGGTCTCCCTGTAGCCCCAGCTGTCCTGGAACTCACTGTGTAGACCAGGCTGGCCTTGAACTCACAGGGATCCACCTGCCTCTGCCTCCCGAGTGCTGGAATTAAAGGCGTGTGCCACCACATCTGGCTATAGCCAACTTTTTAATGAGATTTAGAAATACCCAGGAGACACACCTCTGGGTTTGTCTGTTTGGACATTTCCAGAGTGGGAAAATCCACCCTGAAAATGAGCAGCACCAGCCCATGGGCTGGAGTCCCAGACTGAGTAAAAAGGAGAAAGCGTGCTGGGTACCAGCATTCACCTCCCTCTGCTTCCTGGCTGCGGAGGAGCCAAGGTGACCAGCTCCCTCAAGCTCCAGCTGTCATGCCGTCCCTACCATAATGGATGGTGGCCTTGACTGTGAACCAAAATCAACTCTTCCTTCCTCAAGTGGCCTTGTCACAGCAATGAGAAAAGCAACTCGCCCTATGGTCTAGAGGAGACAGAAAAGAAAGGTCCTGAGGCAGGACTGGAAAAGAACTCAGCATCATTTGAGCACCTGAATTCAACTATATCTGAAGGTGAACAGTGGCATGAAGTGACTTTCTGTGTTGGTGTTGTTGTTAAGTTAGCTTCCGTGAAGTTTCTGCAGCTGAGAAAGAGCTGCGATCTGAAGAAGAGCTGACATTGCGGAAGACGCCGGCTACCGATCTCTGAAGCTGAAATTTTTGGCCGGTAGGTAAAAAAGAAATCAAAGGAGGCTTTTAAAACAAGGAGAACCCGGGCTGGAGAGCTGGCTCAGCAGTTAAGAGCACTGCCCGCTCTTGCAGAGGACCCGGGTTCAGTTCCCAGCACCCACATGGAGGCGAACAACCATCTGTAACTCCAGTTCCAGAGGATCTGACGCTGTCTTCTCATCTCTGTGGGTGTTGCATGGCACAGGTGCACTTATACACAGGCAGACAATACACTCATACACATAAAATAAAAATTAAAAAATATGGTAAATAAATGCATTTTGTTATAATGATAGGAATGGACTAAGACAAAAAGCCTGTTCCTAAGGTTGCCCAAAGAGCAGGAGTTAGATAAAGTTAAAGGAGGGGAGATGAGTAAAGAGGTCAGCGAAGAGGGAGGAAGGAGAGAGGGTGAGGAAGAAGGAAGGACCCAACTCAGGAAAGGTGCTCTGGGGTAACTGGTAAGTGAATGGAGGACCACGGAAACAGTGCAGGCGTTCAGCGACTAAGTGGAAACATGGCCTCCAGGACTGTCCGTGGAGGGAGGCGGTGCCGGCTCTGTAGCAGCTATAGATGGGTACAGAGGCTGGGAGGTCCAGGGCTCTGTGGGCCTGGGTGGACCAGGCGGCGTAGGGGCTTTATGTGAAGTGCTGGAGGCCTGGTTAATGTTCTCCCAGATATGGAATTCTCTCAGGAAACTCAGCCCTCATCTCTAGAAGGGACAAGGGTGTGAGGTGCTTGAGTCAGAGGAAATGGGAGCCCTACACTGTGATCACAAGTCTTAGAGGCACCCTTGAGCCAGCTGTGCCTATCACACAGGTTGACACTGAAGAGCATGCAAACACTTGTACATCCAGAAGCAGAAGATTTGGTGAGGTTCTCCAGGAAAACAGGGGCGTGACGCTGCTACATGCCAACAGAGGAGAGGCTGCAAATGATTCAGGGAGGGGGGCAGAGAGATGGTTCAGTGGTTTAGAGCACTGGCTGCTCTTGCAGAGGATCTGGGTTTGATTTCCAACACCCACATGGCTGCTAACAACCATCTGTAACTCTGGTTCCAGGGGAATCCGACGCCCCCTTCTGACCTCTGTGGGCATTGCACGACACGGATGTACTTATGTATATGCAGGTAATACACGCATACATATAAAATTAAAATTTTTGAGAAGATAAAAAAGGATTTAAGGAGTGCTTGAATGAGACAGGGCTCAGCAAAAAAGACAGGCACGTGTGAATGTGTGTGACAAAAGATGCTGGTCCAGGTCAAGGAGGGTGTTTTTGATGCCCTGATTATTGTCTGCTAAGTTCTGCATGATGACCGACAGTTCCCTATCTCCTGTCTGTGACCAGTGGTTTGGACCTATGCCCCTTGTCATGTCGTCCCTGGGATTCCATCATGACCTCTGGCTGGGGTTGCAGGGCCGGGCTCCCACAGCAGAAAAGCTTCTCCTGAAACATCCTTTTTCTCTCCACTATGGACCTTGGACTTACAGTTTCAATCCTTACTTCCTGTCGCCAAGTTTATTTTCTTTATGAGGGAAATGTAATCTCTCCAGTGGCCGGCTGCAAGAACATGCAAATCAGTAACAGTGCTGCTTTGTGGAGTCTTCTGTGTATGCAAAACCTCCTGGAATAAATCAGTCATCCTTTTAGCGGGAGGAGGCTGAGGGACAGAACGGGATTCCAAGAGAAGGTCGGGGCCAGAGAATAAGGCTATGTGCTAGACAGGGTGAAATGTCCCTGCTGGGTGAGCCAAGCCTTACCCCGGTGGCCAGGGACACCCATAGGTCCCCCATTGGCCTGTCTCTTCTGCTGCCACCAGATGGCAGCACCCGCTGGCCTTGGGACTTAGTGATCCATCTGCACTGACTTTACAGGCATAGGGTCCGTAGCCCCCCAGACGCACTGCCACATGGGCGCTGCTTGTCCACACATTCTGTGGTTATGTCTGGTGAAACATGAATTGTGTGTTTTCAAATTTGCCCTATGGGAGAAGAGTCCTTGCTGGCTAAGTGTGGTCTGTGGTGGCCTGGCAACCCAAGGCTTTGCAGGAGCTAGCCTGGGCTACTAAATGTAAGGAGGGCAGGAAAGGTGGTAAAGGATGGAAGAAGGAAGGCTGACAGGAGGGGGAGGAAGAGGAGGAAAGGGTGAAGAACAGAGGGGCAAAGAGGGAGGCAGGGAGGGGAGTGGGAGAAGAGTCCTTGCTGGCTAAGTGTGGTCTGTGGTGGCCTGGCAACCCAAGGCTTTGCAGGAGCTAGCCTGGGCTACTAAATGTAAGGAGGGCAGGAAAGGTGGTAAAGGATGGAAGAAGGAAGGCTGACAGGAGGGGGAGGAAGAGGAGGAAAGGGTGAAGAACAGAGGGGCAAAGAGGGAGGCAGGGAGGGGAGAAAAGACTAAAGAAAGTTATGGCTTTTTTTTTTCTTTTTTCTTTTTTTTTTTTTTTTTTTAAAAATCAGGAAATCAAA